GTTTGACCTCCTTGAGGAGCTTCGACTGGACCTTGAGGCATAGGAGAGACTCAGTAATTGCTGGGCACAGGCTTGGAGCTTACTTACAACTGCCAAAACATGTTGCATTCTATACCAATGCCCCTATGGTTACGATCACACTTGTGCATCAAAAAAACCTGCTGCTGAAGTGCAGTGATGTGTTCTGACTGAGTTCACAGCATGTTTGGCTCATGTGGGCCTCACCATGTGAGGCGAAAACATCCTGAAAATCTGTGGACATCTCAAACACTGCCAGAAATGCACCAACATACCTTTTGTCCAGCAGCCTGCCATTCCTGTCCATCTATCTGTATACCAGGTTGCTGTGGAGCGTTTGAAACAAGGCACTTGCACTTATCATGATATTCGCAACCAGAATTGCTCCCTGTTCTCATCTAAGGTATACAACAGCTTCCCCCAGACAGATAAGGCATTGAAGGCATCACTGTTCTGGTGAGTCTTAACAGCCAAAGATTCACGCTCCCTTTATCGCAAATTTCATGTGACAAAAGGGATACTTATTCAGGATGCATCAGAGGCTAACATTGATGCATAGATGGACTCACAATCCAAAGAATACCATTCAGCCTTTTCCAGTGCGGTCTTCCATTACTCAGCACGTGCTTCCAAGTCAGAATGTTTCGAAGCCTGTGTTGCCACAGACAAAATGAAGGAAGCAGTCTGGAAATACGGCCATAAGAACCAGATCATTCTTGATGGCACCTTTGGTGTTTGCAATCAACAACTGCTGGTCTTTATTGTGATGGTTGTCAACAAAGGAAAGAAAGGGATACCTGTTGCTTTCTTGTTCTTCTTGGCACCTACAGGTAAGACTGTAGACTTGAAATATGCTCTTTGTTGTGCTGATACTGTATATCTTCCAGGAAATCAGCAATCGTCTGCCAGATACAATTCCAAAATCCTTACCAAACTCCTCAAGACCTGGCAGTTGACTTTGAATCAGTTTTCCCCAAGATCATCCTCTTGATCTGTCAGTTTCATTTGTGTCAATCCTGGAGAAATCATCAATGTAGAGTCCTGAAGGGAATACCATTGTCCTCCATGACTTGAGAGCGCAGATAGTCGCATTGAAACAAGCACCTCCACAGACTCATGAGTTTCAAGCTGCTTGGATGTTGGTTAGCAACAAGCAAATGACGCTCACAGTGTTACTGCCAGAACAGCCAGACAATGTGCCAGAAATGCTCACCCATCTTGACTCTCTCAACAACTATTGGCTTACTGAAAGCCTATGGAAGAGCTGGTCAGATTATGGTTGGACACACATTGCACATATCTTGAAATGCACAATTGATGGTGTGATCCTGACAGCAAACCATCTGGAGTCCTTCAATGGTGTTCTGAAGGGAGCCATCACAAGCGCTGACAGAAAGGCAGCCGTTGTCTTTGCATGGATGTCCTCCTCAAAGCACTGGTCATGTCAATACTGCTGTCAATCTTTGAGGAGCAATGCATCTACCAGGATGACACAAAGGAAAATGCAGGATGAGCATGTTTGACCGCACATAGCCTTTCTTGTGCCCAACCCTGAGTACAATGCCAAAGCCCAGAAGATTTTGAATGCAAATCAGCTCAATGTGCCAGAGCTTCTCCCAGAGAATGTTGGGCTCACCATGAAATCATACTCATTGTGCACCCTCTCTATTGACCACAATCCAATCATCTACACCATTTGAGCAGGTTTCAATGGCATTGTATCCTGCAACTGCCCAGACTTTCCAATGAGAGGTGGTGCATGCAAGCACATCCAAGCTGATTTAATGGTCATTGATGGACTTTGATGTGACCACCAGGTCTTTGTACCTGATATTCCAGTGCCCTGATCTGTAGAAGAGGCTCTGAAGTTGCAAGCAAGGGAGCTTCTGACTATCAAGATACACCTACCAATGAGCAAGGTATGTCATAGTTCGACCACTTTTTCATCTTATCTGCAACGATCTTATCTTATCTTGGCACGGATTATCTTATCTCGGATCACGGCACCTGATGGTCCGGGCTAGGGGGTCTGGGGAATCATCTTCATTGATTCAAGGCTGCGCGACACATGCTCCAGAAGGTTCTACTACAACCCATGACCAGTGCTCCATGCGGTACATAGCCTTATGACTCATTAGTTGTAGATATGACTCAGACTGGACTTGGGTATAAATACTGTAGCTACTTGGTTGTATTCTCCAGTCTTCGAATTCACTTTTCCTCTCGACTTTGTTTTTGGGTTGATTGTCACAAGGTAGCCCCAAAGCTTGACAAATTGAAAAACAACAACAAGAACATCACAGACACATATGGAGCTGTCAAAGATGTCAGTGACAATAGGGGCAGTCAAAGTAGGCAATTCTGGTGTGATTTGAACCTTGATTCACATGTGATTCTGGTGTGATTTTAGAAAGATTTTGGACCCAGAATCACCCTCAAATTGCTGTCAAATCACATCTTACTTTGACCGCCATCTCACATCCTTGATTCACAAACAATTTGACACTACGAGATGTACTAGTACATACTTACGATCTTATATACACATTTCTTTTTTTTTCACCCACTATGCACCAAGCCAACCAATGTACTACATGCAAAAAAGCTCTTCTGGAGACATATTTCAAGTCTCAAAGGGTCTGCTGAGTGCCGCATTGAGAAGGCTGAGCTCGGGAGGGTCTGGTACAGCAGGTGGCAGGGCAGGCTTGTCCTTCTTGAGCTTTCCTTTCTTTTTTGGAGCTGGCAGGTTGTCAGTACTAGCTTTGGTGGCAGCAGTGCTGCCATCTTTTTGGGGCTTTGGCATGGGACTTGGAGGTTATGTGTAAAAAGTACAAACAAGAACCAAATTAAAGTGATGTCATGTAAGCTTTGTGCAAGACTTCAAAAATGAAGTGGACTTGAAGTCAAAGCAGAATTGTTGTGTGAAGCAGCTCCAGAGCTGCTTCACCAATTCAGCTTGATTCAAGGATTCCTTGATTCTCCTATGCTTCTGACAATGTCAGAATCGCAGCCTGAATCAAAATTCAAATCACATGAGAATCACCTACTTTGACTGCCCTAATGATTCAACAGCTCAGCCATAAGTAAAGAACTGTTCTTAGATGAGACTCACTGGCTGTAAACTGCAAACTTTTGAATCTAAGCCCCACCTCGGCCTCAATATCTTCCCCAGCAATCCCTGCATGTCCAAGGTGATACATGACACAATCTTTGCAATGAGTCTTCCACTGGGTCTGATTCTGCTTCTCACTCCCCTTCAGAAAGAAATCCCAGAAGGTCAGCATCAGTGGTGATGGGGAGGCAGGAAAGGATCAATCATTTGCACCTGTGATACTTACCAATGTGCTTGATTCTGATCAACAATTGATTATCGGATCTCACTTCAATTATCTCAATTAGGTTGCAGAAGTAATCAATTAGATAACAGCCTTCCACATGAGCTATAGGCTTCAGCTCTTTTGGCAAACACTGGAGTCAAGAGGGTTTGAATTGTATCTGCAACAATATGGAGATCTCTGAGCTGCTCAAGACCAGCAGATGACTGATTCATAGATGGGAGGAGGAGGGAATGCAAAAGCAGAAGTGGTCTGGAAAGAGATCAGAGTGATCTAGATGGAGGGAGAGAAGAGAGAGCAAGATGCGTGGATATGAGATTGAGTGGCTGTGCTGGAGATGCCAAAAAATGTGTTTCTCGACATCTCTAGCACAGCCTTCTAGTCACATGACTCTGTGTAAGCTGAAATGACTTGATGTTTTCATCACATAAATGTCCTAACTACTGATACTTACCAAACAAGGGACCGGGCCCTGCCGCTTGTCGGCCTTACCGCCTTATTGATTGGCACTATCTCAACCTGAGCTCCACCTGAATTCAGATTCAGCAATGATCAAAAAGATAGTCCTATTTCAGTTGAGTGTGGTGCTGAATCTTCATCAATATGTAGGTGTCTTCTTGACCGAGAGGACCTGATCGACGGGGGGTCTCACATGCATCGAAGAAGATGAAATCTATGTTACTTCTTTCAGATACAGAATACACGGGATAGTTGTAAGCTAAATAAATGGAAAATGGCACCCTCTGCAACGGTCCCTCCACTCCCCATCGCTGCCGGCTGCAACGAGCGGGACAGTCGGCAGGGATGTTCTCAGAAAGAAGGATCCGCAGCTGAATCTGTCCGCGGATCCGTTGAACGTTGTCCCGGTGTGATTGCTGCTGATTGTCTGCCTCCACCTCGGAGACAGCCGTGTCCAGGACGTGCAACGCATCCAAATCTTTGATCCACCCAATGAGCGCATTGATGGCCCAGAAAAGCAGCCAGTAGAGCCCGTCATAATCCGCGAGACAGTTCTTCGGATACTTGTGGATGAACCCAGAGACGGCATCGGCAAATCGACGTTGCAGTTCAGTCGGGGGTGCCGAAGAAATGCCGAAGCCTATGTGGTGTACCAATTCGAGCGTCTCGAAGTCCAGGTCCCGCTCCGTTTGATCCAGACCCCGGGCCGCACACCGCTCGAAGAAAGTGGTCACAACACCCACACATGCATACCCGTACACCCGCTGTGCCAATGCCCGCTCCGTCCGCTTGTCACTGTCAAGGCCGAACACGGTGTGGAACCAGGCCTCATCCTTGAAAAAACTCGGCAACTTGGCCAATTCTGACAAATCCCTTGATTTCAGCAAATACGGCGAGAAGCTTTTGAGCACGACGCACTGGACGACGGCAGGCAAACGGTGCGTGTGGATGTCTGCTGCGTGAGTCCTTAGACTATGGAGCACCAAGAGATGGGTGTCGAGGTCTCTTGGTGGCTTATCAGATGCAAGCAAATTCCGATAAATCAGCTGCAAGGTGTCGACAGATGCCTGGAGGTCGTTTTGGTACTGCAAGTTCCTGCATAGAGCGCGGCACAGGAATCGGGTGCAATGATGGTTCGGACCGGGCTGTGAGTCGGACCTTGGCTCAGAGGCGGTGAGGGACGGATGTCGCACAAGGAGCGGCCCAAGACGCCACAGCGACGAATCGAGATAGTGCGACGTCTGGGCAAACGGGGTGATCATCTGGCGGGCAGCAAAGACGACATTGTCCGTTGTCTCGTGCAACTGGGAATTGATCAGCTCTCTGAGTGCGTCTTGCAGAGTTTTGAAGCCATCCCCGTGCGTGAAGCGCATTTGAGGCGGATCAAAGAAGGACGTGGTCACATCCCGTTGGATGCTGGCAGGGCATTGGGAAAGTGCTTTCAGATAATCCAAATACGTCTGGCGCATGTCGGCTTGTTGTTGGTTTTCTGCCTCGGCACGGAAATGATCATTAGAGCTCCTTGCTTGTGTGAGGGCCCGTTGCTGGGCATGAGACTCGATCATGTTCAGACGAACCAGAGCAGACACATCGGGGAGCATGCTCTGCACCTCGGGAGCATCAGCGAATTTCGAGCCGAGCAGCGCCTTGCCCACGTCGGCTACTCCAATCGGACTTGGCAGAGGCGACCCCGTGTGAAGCGAGAACGCGCAGACGGCCCAGGTGGCCCGGAGCACAGAGATCTGGCGGCGGACGCGGTCCTTTTCCTCAAGCAGATAGCTATTGGAGCCTGCCATGAAATCGGCGAGACGCTGGCCCAGATGGACTTCCGGATCCTGCAACAGAGACTGGAACAGTGCCTGATACACGCCGCGAGGCTTGTTTTTGTCGAAATTCCACAGCGTCTGGGGGAGCCCCTCGACAAGTTTCTCGAGCTCCTCGTCGTCAGAGAGTGACCGCACGGTCCACGCGAGTGCGTGGGTCTCAATCTTGACAGGAGGATGCAGTGCTTCTGATTTTATGGCCTCGGCCATGCTCTGCGACTCTGTATGGGTGTGGGTGTCTTCACGTGCAGGACGCTCGGCAGAGGCATCGGCGCGTTCCTCGGGGTCTGTCAGAGCGACTGTGGTTCGTATGTCGCTGCCGTGCCGTTTTGCATGTTCGCGAGCTGAAGCGAGATCTGGGTGAGCAGCGCGACGGTCTGGCCGCCTGAGTCCGGGTTCAACGTCTTGTAGCTATCAATGATGAATATCGCGACAACGCCAGAGAAGAGACCCGCCTGAGGAGTCAGTTCCAGAGAAAGTGCTGTGCTTCTCCGTACACGCTGCCTCGCCGGAACAATGAACGGTTCACAGCAACCGCGCGCCAACGCTTGCTGTAACAGATTTAGACACAGCTATCCAGGCTATTGCAAGCTCGGACGGAAGAATGATTTGCGGGTGGCGCATCCTATGGCCAGCCAGTCGGCGCTGCCAGTAGATTGACGGATGGCATCTACCTTCTTCTGTATATGAGAAGAGGACAGTCACAAGAATTGGACAAAAAGAGAGTCACCTGATTATCACGTGAAAGCCCCGCAGGGCCAACTTGCCTGTTGGAAAGCGAAAAGGAATCATCACTCCTGGTCCACTTGGCCGTACTATACTGTATTACATGTCAATCTACAACCATCCAGTCCGCAAGATACCTCATGATCTCCAGAACTCAAGCACCCTGGTAAACAGGGCGACAAGGACGTCCCAGCCCGAATCGTGCGGCATCTCCACTCGCGCGTTCTCTCCCTTGACCGGTGGGTCCCCGAAACTGCGTCCTGCACGGTAAGTTTCCGAGCCGGCGTGATAATAACGGGAGAACACCGCCATGTAGGCGCTGGACGTCTCTTCGAAACGTGGGGCGCATGTGATGTGCTCGCTGCTGAGTATCTTGTCAAAGGTCGAGAACATTTCGCCGCAGCGGGAGGACTCTGGCACAGTCTGAGTGGGCCCACTCCGACACGGTGACTTGACTGGCGGTGCTGCTCCCTCCCGATCGGCACTCCCAGCCACAGGCCCGCCTCTCCCCGAGCCCGACGAGCCCGCATGATCGCCGCCGCTGCCCAACACACCCGCTCGCCGATCGCCGCGCCCAGTCCAGTCCTGCTCCCGGGTATCCGCAGCCTCGTGACACATTCAGTCCGCGTCCACCGCCCGCACTGTCACTCGGGGAGTCACGGGTGGCACTCACCAGCACGACGACCGTGTGGCACCCCGTCAGCCACTCGCGCACCGCAGCCGTGCGCATGGGCGCGGTCTCAATCTCCACCGCGGACCCGGGCCAGACGTCCACGCTCCCCGCGCGCGCGTGCGCGCGCGTGAGTGCCAGATCCAGCGGCGCCGGGAGCCCGCCGTGCACGATCTCGACGGTGCGCTTCTGCGCGTCCATCCCCACGCCGCGCCGGTTGCCCTTGAACGCGTGGAGCTCGAGCTGGGCCTGCCAATGGTCGCTGCTGTTGTTCTGCATCGCGCGATTCAGTACTGTAGTTGTTCTCGGTTGATTCGGAGGATGTGAGGTGAGGGGGCCGTCTATGGAGTGCCACTTTATGCTACGCAGTTACTCGGGTCTCGTTCCCGTGCAACCAAAACCCTGCCCGGACGGTCTCTAGATTCGTCGCCCCCCAACCGGACGTATGTATCCGCGGGTGCGGATATCGAATATCTTCCGGGCACGAGACCTGCGGCAGTTGCATTGCATGCAACTCAATTCGAACAGACAGAATGGATGTCTTGAGCTACCAGGAAACGGGACCCTGTGTATTCGTCGCCAGCAACAGTTCAATCCTGAAATCGTAGGATCGTAGATAAACACGTCTCTAATCTCACCTAGTCGCACCCAGCAGTGAACAATCAAGACTCCTCAATGAATCCAAAACAAGAAACGGGCTTGTATATCCGACATGGCCTAGCCACGCGACACGAAGAACACGGTGCATGATATATGTATGTTTGTATGTGCATTTATGTACGTAGCTGCCTGCAAGACAGCAGCCCCCTCAAGGGGCACAACAGATCCAATGCCGCCAATCGAGGCGGGCAGCGCCGGCCGCACTAGGCAGCAGCGACAGAGAGACAGGGAGAGACCAGACGAGCACAGACAAAGGAGAGTGACTTTACAAAAGAAGGAAGGAGAGCACGGCACGACGTGCGTGCGTTCGTAGCCAGGGGTCGTATTCAAAGACCGACGTTGTATTTACGACGGGAATCGTGAGCGCGGCGCACGCGTCTGGCATGCGTCCCGTTCTGCTTCGCGAGACACGACAGCCGGGACACACGCGCCGGGGAAGCGGAGGTGGAGGTGGACGGGGATGCTGGGCCAGAGGAGGGAGCTGAGCCGGACGCAGGGGAAGCAGGGCTGGCCGGGGAAGACCCAGAGTGAGGGCCATCAGCCGGGTTGGCTGAAGAGCCCGCGGAAGTGGAAGAGCCAGAGTTGGAACCAGAGTTGGAGCCAGAGTTGGAGCCAGAGTTGGAGCTAGACGACGACGACGATGCACCTTGCGCCGGGTTCGAACTCGCGCCACTCGACGATCCCGCTTGTCCGCCTGAATTCGCAGGCGCACTCTTCTCTGCACCTCCTGAAGAAGACGCCTGTCCAGGAGCGGTAGCCACAGGCGGACTGGCCAGAGTCACAGGATTCCCGACAGGCTGTCCCGTGCTGCTTGGGCTGTCCCCGGTGTAGGCATACACAGGATCGATCAGCGCCGGGACCACCGCCGCCGCGAGCAACGACGCCTTGCCGCCATAGCCCACGACGGGATTGTTGCCGGGGAGCGTCGCGAGCACACCGGTGGTCACTTCATTGACACCCTTGGTGATGCGGCAGTTTCCGCCCTTGACGAAATTGAAGATCCCCGCGTTCGAGCAGCAGGTCGGGTCCCCGAACTCGTTGCAATGGCACTCGTCCACAACGCGCTGCAGCACATTCGGCTGCCAGCCCATCATAAAATCTGTTCCGGTACATGGTTGAGGAGAGGGCGCTCAAACAACCGAGAGCGCTGCACTCACCGGCGTGGTACCCGTACCCAGTCGGATCGCCCATCGAGTAGACGAACGGCTGGCTGCTGTTCTTCGCCTGGTCTCGGAGGCCCCACCACGATCCGGTGTCGAGGTACATCTGCCGCACGTCAGTCCGTCAGTCAGGGTCGCCTCATCCATCCATGCATCGCGTCACCGCACCTCCATGAAAATCCGTGGCAGGGTCTTGGGGAACTTGGGATCCGAGCATGTGCCCGAGTCGGGGCCGCCGGACGGGAACGCGACGTGCGACTTGTGGTCGGGCGAGTCCGCGTTGACGCCGTCCCAGCACCTTATCGGCGGGTGATTGATAGACAGAGCGAATCAGCATCGACACGACGTAATGCAGGCACACCACACGTACATCGGGAAGTTCTGTCCAGGGCCACCGTGAGATTGTGACACGCGCCGATATGATTCATGCGGAAGAAAAGACAAAACACGCACGATCTGGGCCCGGATACCGGACGGGCAGTTTTGAGCGGGGAACTCGTTAAACCGGGTCGACTTGCCGTTGAAGTCCAAGCACAGGAACGTGATCGCCTGCTGGGCGTACGAGGTAGGGTCGTACGTTCGCAGCATCGGATTCCCACTGATCATGCGGAACTGGAGCGCGAGCCTTCAGAACAGTGGTCACAGCATGTCCACAGTCGGACTCACGTCATCGGGGAACGCCGTCGTCGTTCCGGGTGTGTCGGAGAAAAGATAGTCTGCCAATCGCGTCACGCCCTGCCCCAGTCAACAGAAATGAAATCGCATCGTACAGCTGCAGTGGCGTGAGTAGACATCCCGCACGAAACCCGCAGAAGAAGAGTAGCAACAACGTACATAACCGGGTTGCCGTTCACGCTGCTGAACGAGCCGTTCGCCCATCTGCAGGGAGTCAGGGTCGCCCGAGTGCTTGCGCGTAGGAAGGACGACGCACTGGAAATAGGTGGTCTGCAGACGCAAAAATTCAGCTCCACAGTCCCCGCCTACTATCTCACGCGTTCACGCACCGGAGCCCACTAACGCAGCATAGCAAAGTAGCCGCTCGTCAGCAGGGTGTCGCGATAACGAAAGACAGGGCGGGCACGCACGTAGGCCGAGTTGTCCTCCTTGATCGGCGAGGACGTGCACTCGCTCTGCCGCAGGAAGCTCGTGTTCGTCGCCACGCGGAAGTTGCTCCCGCCCACAACTACGCGTCCGTCGCGGTCAGTCGGGAGCCGCACAGCAAAGCCATCCGCAGAGCTCACCGGTGTGGACGTGGCCCGCGACTTTGCCTGTGAAGCAACGCACGCCGCTCAGTTGACAGCGGCGATGGAAAAGAATCAAGGCGCGCGCACCAGGGCTGACGATAGGGTCGATCCGCTCCGTCGTGATCACATCGTCTGTCAGATGCAGGTCAGGCGAGACTGAATACGCGCAGTGACTGTGAACGACGACGGACTCATGGAAAAGAGAAAGTAGGCGTGCTGCATCGGGAATGATGCCGCGGCGAACGCGAGTGACAGTAAGAGCTTGGAAAAAGCCATCGGAGACGACGTCGGGATGGGATCGAAGCGGGAAGGAGCTGCAAGCCTCAAGGAAAGAGGGCGGGAACGGCGGGAGGGGAGAGGGAGGGAGGGAAGGAAGAAACACAACGTCAAGAGGAGTGATTGGCTTTTTTAGGACGTATCCCTCATTGATGATGATGGCGTTGATACAGCGCGCGTTTGAGTGTGTTTGATTTTGACGCCGATCGCGTTTGATGAAGTGATCGATCATTGATTGACCTCATCATCCATAGCGATTATCCACTTGCACGCACTAGGCCCGCGGAAACTCAGTATAAGGTCACTCAAGGACCAAAGCCTGTTTTACTTTACGAAAATTGCCATTTTGGGGTAGTTTTACTTTAAATTTCGAGGGACCCCTCAGTTTTTGTGCATACGTTCACGTGAGGCCTTTTTTGAGCTCTTGGACTGAGATTTACTGCACGTTCTGTGCTTAAATGGGTGAAAGCTGGGAAAAAGCGAGGGGAACTTGTCTGATCAGCTCCGCTTTTAGAACATTTCTCTCCCCCTCAAGCCCGAAACCGCTCAACTGGGGCTGTTTTACGCTAAATTCTGAGGTACCTTGGTACATTTTGACCCGTTTTACTTTATTCTACTGAGTGAGGTTGGGCCATTTTTGGACCTTGTTTTACTTTATTTTTGAGTGACATAATACTGAGTTTCCGCGGGCCTCACGCACTCGTGTTCAATTTACAGCAGACTTTTGTCGAAATTTCGGGTAACACCAACCGCTCTTCATCGAAGGTCTAGTATGATTGTTTGAATTCGCATGTGGTCCTTATGATCCTACCAACCTTTATCGGCTCAAATTCGAACCTTTTCTAAGCCTACCAAAACACTGTCTTCAATTCCAAACTCTGTTCAACTCCGGTGTCGCACTATTTAAGCCCAATACAACGCTTGCCGATCATCTCAAATCCAATCTTCGATATCAAGATGTCGGCCGTGTGCTCAATGGAGAAGGTTTCTGCATCCTGGACACGAATGTGATCGACTCTCACTAACATCTCCTGCACCAGCGCCTTCGATCCGAACACTGGAAATTCGACACAGTGAGGTGGATTGAGCGTGCCGTGTGAAAGAGCATCTTGATGCCGCGGTGGCTGGGATTCAGGAGGTGTACCAGTCGGAGTGGCCAGGATGTGGATATTGGGGAGCATCTCTTCCAGGAGTAATAGCTTGTCGACACACGAGACCTATATGCTTGCTCCACAGATAACTGAGACCCCACTCAGACTTATACGAAGATATCTCATCAGATGCAGACAAGGGCAATGAAGTCGTGCGTTCGGAATAACGTACAAAGCAGAGGAGGTTCTGTCGACGGTTCCGACTGCATCTCGCTTTTTTTGTCTGTATTCAGCTCCGTGGAACAGTCTTTCAAGCTTGGTGGGACACCATTGCCGACCTTGCTCGATGTCTTATTTGATGGTGGATCTTTTCAAATCGGTACCTTATCTTATCTGCTCCCATCTATCATCGGCTTTCGCTTCTTCCAGTCTTTCTCGGCCAATCTGTCCGTTTTTCAAGTAAATATAATTCTACGGTGCCCGCGACTAATCTTCGCTTTAACTTCGTCACCATAAGATCAAGTAATTAACCATGCATGTACGCCACTC